CACGGCGAGCTGAAGGGTACACCAGTAACTCGTCAACGGCAGAGATGGAGCCCATCGAAGAAGACGTAGACAAGTAACGAGGGAGAGAGCGTGAATTGGTTGGCTTTTTCCTCACGTTTCTGAGGTAAGATAATCGTGGCTGCCTCTGTTTGACCAAATGTCTAGTAGAAAAATGGGCTGCAGTGAAGTTGCGGAGAAATGCTATACCGCGATTGATGCGTTCGATGGCAGTTATGGGTCGAGTCCACGTTAACATCATTGGTTGGGAAATTGGACTTTGGATTAGAATCGGGTGGAAAATGTTGCCATTTTGTTGGTGTAGGCTTGTAGCCATGGAGTTTGGACTATTTTAGATTTTTTTTTTTTTTAATTAGGGCGAGAAGTGATGCAAGTCGCTAGCTGACTCGACTCGTCCCACTAGTTAGTTGAGCAATGAGTTACTCGTGTGAGCTCGTCATATTGAACAGGAAAAATATATTGATGAGACAGATCAAACTTTAACCATGTTTGAGACACATTAAAATTTTCATTTCATTTTTCTATTTATTTTTAACTACACATTTTTCAATAAAATAATATTTTCTATCACATCAATAACTTTTTATTTTTTTTTCAATCACACATTCTCCATTAATCTACTATTTCAAAATAATTTGACTCAAACACACTCTTTGTTTGAGCAAGCCTGGGACGAGTCGAGTGCAAGCAAATTGCTACGCAGATGAGCCGAGCAAAGCGGTTCGACTCACTCTGTTTAACACAGTCCACTATTAATTTAAATCATTCATTTCATGAAATTCACAATTTTTATCAACTTTTTAATTATTCATTTAACTATATTGTACTCGAAAATATTTTAGATACCAAATGCTACAAAATTATATTGTCATTTATAATATGCGTCCGTGCCAATTTTCAGGAGATGTTGTAGGATTAGAAATAGTAGAACCTTGATGAGCTTGTGATTAAACAAAGGGTTATTGGCGCAAAACGTCCCTACCTATGACAGTCCTTGTGGAAAACGTCCCTACGTTTGATTTCTTGGTGCAGAACGTCCCAACTTTGCATTTTCTTGCGCAAAACGTCCTTCCGTCCAACTCCCGTTAGAATCTACGTTAAATAAAAGGGTAATTGGCGCAAAACGTCCCTACCTATGAGGGGTCTTGCGGAAAACGTCCCTATGTTTCATTTTTTGGCGCAGAACGTCCCTACCTTTCACTTTTTTTTTGTGCAAAACGTCATTTTTCCTAATTTTTGACATAAAATGACCAATACACCCTTCAATTTAAATAAAACAAAAAGGAAAAGAAAAGAAAAATCAAGAATAAATTGCAATCTGGTCCAAAACATTTTAAAAAGAACAAATCAGTTCAAATAAATTATTAAAATATTAACAATAATCAAAAATAAAAATAAAAACTCTCTCTCCTCTCCCTCATCCTCAGCCTCCTCTTCCCTCAGCCTCCTCTACCACCACCGAAAATCAGACACTATACCGGCGCCTCATCACCCTCTACAATCCCACACAAACAACAGCCCAAAAAATCAACAAAAATCTAGTAGAAAGTAGGGAATATGGAAGACCTCAATATGCGTGCTTAATAGTTTATAGACAAATCGGCCTACGCTGCTGGTTTTCCCTCAAAATTGAACATATTTCTGGGTTACCCATGCTCCTGCTGATGTCAAGAAGGTCTAGTAGAAAATTGATATAGTGGGCGACAGTTCCGGTGCATTGGGGTAGGTGCTAAAATGAAACCATCGAATTTGTTGCTTCACAATGAAACCACCAAATCTGTTGCTTCTAAATGCAAAATTTATTTTTCAAAATGTAAGAATTAAGCTCCTGGTTGCTTCTTGCTTCTGTCTCTTTCTGTGTTTTTTGGTGGTTAATCTATGAAGGCTAGAATAGGAGGTGAAGCTCAGGTTTATTATGGTCTAGATTCTGCCGGTTTTGATCAGATTTTTGTTGGTTTTTTGTGCGAAATTTTGATCAGATTTTTGTTGGGTTTTTGGGCTGTTGTTTGTGTGGGATTGTAGAGGGTGATGAGGCGCCGGTATAGTGTCTGATTTTCGGTGGTGGTAGAGGAGGCTGAGGGAAGAGGAGGCTGAGGGTGAGGGAGAGGAGAGAGAGTTTTTATTTTTATTTTTGATTATTGTTAATATTTTAATAATTTATTTGGACTGATTTGCACTTTTTAAAATGTTTTGGATCAGATTGCAATTTATTCTTGATTTTTCTTTTCTTTTCCTTTTTGTTTTATTTAAATTGAAGGGTATATTGGTCATTTTATGTCAAAAATTAGGAAAAATGACGTTTTGCGCAAAAAAAAGTGAAAGGTAGGGACGTTCTGCGCCAAAAAATGAAACGTAGGGACGTTTTCCACAAGACCCATCATAGGTAGGGACGTTTTGCGCCAATTACCCTTTTATTTAACGGTGGATTCTAACGGGAGTTGGACGGAAGGACGTTTTGCGCAAGAAAATGCAAAGGTAGGGACGTTCTGCACCAAGAAATCAAACGTAGGGACGTTTTCCACAAGGACTGTCATAGGTAGGGACGTTTCGCGCCAATAACCCTTAAACAAACATGTGATTACAAAGGTTGAGATGTATCTATTGTGTAATTACAGTAAAAGCAAAGAAATCAAAGACGAAACAGTCTTTATTTTTGCTCAAGCCCTTTAGTTTAGACCATGAAAGAACCGATGTTTTTATGAGAAGCCCTTGAAACAACATCAACCCAAATATGAAACCTGACATCTTCGTAAAAATTTTAATGGAAAAAAAAAATTATTGCAAGAGGAAGAATAAGATGAAAGAGTAGGGACATGGATAATTGTAGCAGTTCTAACGAGGCCTGAGATATGACAGTGTGTCAAATAAGTAGAGAAGAAGCAGTTTGACAAACTCGATGAAATCTCTATTCTAGTGGAATCACCAAAAAAAGGTCAACGATACACTTAAAATTCTAGGCTAAATTGCATGTGCCATCCTCATATCTTTCTTTTATTTATTTTTCTTATATGAATTTAAGAGAAGATCCAAATTACATTAAAGCTTCGAACTAAAATACCTGAAAATTATTCCGAATGCCATATGTCTGAAGTGCAGAGTTGTCGTCAAGTAGCTATGCATTGTGGTATGAAAGGCAAAAATTGGCCCATACATGCTTCCTGCAAACCAAAAGAGTGTGAATAAGCACATACGTGGATCTTGTAGCTCCCAACAAATAACAAAAATGGACTAGGATAATTCTATTTGTACCGACTGGGGATTATTGAAAATGTGTCACCCTCTCACACCCGCCCAAGACCTGCGTGAATGAAAAACTCTCAAATGTGTGGTCCCCGTACCCTATTGTGAGTGTAAGTAAAATTTTATGTAAAAAAAAAAAAGTGTACATGTAGCATAGCCAATGGACTGAGCCTTAATTTGGAGTCGGCTACATAAATCATTTTTCTCCACTTCGTTTGGTTCATTATTACACCTACTCGAAGATTCAAATCAATTAAACCTCTAGGTATTTAATTTTAGTTTTGGTCTTTCCTTCCCTCCTCTCATTTGTTCTATTGAGATCCCACCATTTTTATAAATACGCACGTCTTTAAATTTACGCAAAAGATGCTTGAACCACCTAAGTTCTCATTTCTTTTTAGAAGGAGAGTTCTCTTTTAAGTTAAAACCGGAAGTCTTTCAATTTTAACTAGCATTCAAGAAGCAATGGAGTCCCAAAAGTTCATCCATAATGAATAAAGTGAATTCACAAAACCAAAGTGATCAGTCTCTTTTTTGGATTCCAAATATGAACAAGGATTAAACAATGAGGATAATTTATGAAAAGTTTCGGGGAAATTGATATAGAACCATGGCAAACCAAGAAATTGGGCGATGGCCAGTTCTCCTACATATCATTTTACTTTTTTTCTAGGGATGGCAAAAAAATCCGATAAATTCGATATCCGCAGGGAATAACCCGCTTAATTGAGTATTCGGGACGGGGACGGGTAACGGACTCCCCGCCCCGCCACGTGAATTTTTTTTTTTTTTTAAGAATTCAATTTTTTAAATGAAAATTTTCACAATATTTCACTAGTTCTAATATAAAATAGCAACTAAAATTATTTGTCTAAATTTAATGAATATGGAAAACAAAAATAAATTATCAAAAACTAAAAAATTTAAACTGGTAGTAAACGGGCCCTTGGCCCGCCCCTTTGCCATCCCTATTTTTTTCCTGATTGCTAATTTCAAATATTTTACAATTACAGAATTCATCATTGCCACATCTTCAATCAAAAGACAATGAAAAATGGAATTAAAACCGACATTAACATCTGCTTCAAAAACATACAGCAAACTGTTCGCGAAAATGCCTAGCTGAGAAAAATTCAAGTACCTACAGATATGCCATCTTGTTTCACGACGCAGATGCGCATGGCGCTGCCGAGATCCAAGTTGATTGTAGTTTCCACTTCAGACAGCGTAGGGTTCTTCGTTACGAAGGACAGTATGGGATCTTTGAGGAGTGCCGCCAATGTGGACTGTTATACTCTAGGCCGGTGTTCGCTGCAGAATCGTACCATCGGAAGATGCATCCATCTTTTGCAAGCCGGTGAAACTGTCCGATTTATTTTCTAAAAAATTTGTTTGGCAAAATTTTTGGGATAAATTTGGGCCAACTCCCCAAACTTTCACCTGGTGTGATTATAAAATTGTAAATATGATGAATCAAATGGATCCTTTCTGAGCTTTTCGAGTCAAATCAACTTTCAATTTGGTTAAAATCAACTTCTTTATTAAGTTTTATACATAGCAAAGTTGATTTGACTTGTAGACTTCTAGTGAACAAAGGGAAAAAAGAGGGAGAAGGAATGGATATTTGTGTAAATAGGAATTGAACAATAGTATATAAATACAGTTTACTTTTATAACGCAGTAGCAAATGAGATAAAAATGCACAACACAAATAGACCACAACTCACAAAACAAACCAAATTTCAAGCACTCCGTTGGGGAGGTGAGTTCCGCATCTCAATCACCTTCTTCCATGTCTCTCGGCTGGAAATCTCATCCCACCACCTCCCAACATTCTTCCTCGAAGTGAGAAGTTCGCCTCTACCACACTGATTCACCAAGTAATGCAACATAGGTAGGTGAGAAAGATCAGCCAATGTGAATTCATCGCCAGCTAAATATCCACTCTCTCCAAGCCTGTTCTCATACACATCAAGCACTTTCCCAAGCTTCTCTTCATTTTGCTTGATCAAATTCTCGTCTTGCTTGATCTTCATCCTCGGTACAAAAGCTAGTTGGAACACGAGAACTGCAGTTGGTGGATAAAAGTTTTGGCCTTCAACCTCTAACCATTGATCAATTGATGCCTTCTCTAACGGGTTAGTACCAAACAGTCCTTTGTTTCCTTGATTTGCATACTTATCACAAACGTATCTAGATATGGCTCTGGATTCTGGTTTCATCAAAGACATGAAAGAGTCCAAATGAAGATCCAAATTCAATAGTTATTGTCCTCACATCCCATTTTTCAGACGAAGAAGATGAAGCATTCTCTCTGTTTTGTTGCTCGTTCAAGTTCAGAACGTGGTCGTTCTTTTAATGCCAGTTCAACATATTTTTGGATGGAAACTATCATTAAGGACTACGGGTGTCTAACAGCAATGCAAAAGAGGGTAAAGATTGGGGACAGAAGCTACATTGTAGCTGGATTTCCCATACTAAACATGCTCCTAACAGTTTTGAGGGAAGAAAGTCCCAATTGAATAATCGCTGACACATTCTAAAATTTCCATTAGCAAATTTCCCTAGAGATTATCATGAACTTGAATAAACAACTGACAATATAAATTATTTTTACTTGGGGAACAATGAAAAATTCGAAAGTATGTAGAAATTACCAAACAGTGTAATGCTCTCATCTTGAAACACTGGTACTTGCCCAAATGGCTGTTCAAAAATCATAACCAAAGTTCCAAGAAATATAAAACCCATAAAATTCACCTTGCATAAACGAAGAGAAATCCACCAAATTGATTCAATAAATGCAGAAAATCTACCTGAAGTTTGAGGTAATCAGGTTTCTTTTGTTCGCCTCTGACCAAATTGATGGGGATGAGTTGAAACTGGACATCTTTCTCAAGAAGGCATGTCAGAACCCTTGATACGGCGGCAGAAAGTGGTGGTCCGTACACTTTAACCGCGCTCGCCATTGGAAGAATTGAGAGGTTGGTTGATGGGATTTCTTCTTCTTGCTCTTTTTGCTGCCGTGTTTCATTTTCAGCCACACGTAAATTAAACCTCAGCAACCCAATTGGTTTCTTTCAAAACAGGAGCCCAAGTGATCCTTTCATTTGATTTCAAATGCAAGTCCAAAATAGGGCCCATTTAATTCCAATGCCCATTTAATGCCATATTCCTTTACAAGGTTTCGTCTTTCTCAAATAATAAAATAATGTGATTTAGTTCTTGAGCTCATCAATTGTGTAACCAATGTCCTTCTCAAATTCTAACGTGTGGAATTTGATCTCAAAATTATAGATTTCATTCGATTTTGTTCTTCTTCCTTTTCAATTGCTTAAAAACGAATCCAATACTGAAACAAAAGAAAATCAATCTAAAACTCCGTTTGGTATATCTAGTTAGCCTCCAAGTAGAAAAATTGTGACCATTTTTTCACTCTTCCAGCCGCCACTTTGATTGGTCCTCTCACGCGTGGGTCCCGCCTGCAAATGTAACGGTACAAATTTTTCTACTTTTTTCAAAATGTAGATATACCAAACGGAGGCTAAGTTAAGTAAAAATCAACACTTGACGATATAAAATCTTAGTAGTATGGTCCATATGAGTGCACAAAACGCACTTAATCAGTGTAACTGAATGGTAAGCCATGGACAAAACAGACTGCATTATTCAGATGAGATTCTTCTTATGGGAATTAATATACTATAGACAGTTCACTGAGAAAGAGTTATGGGGACGATTCCTTTATATTTATTCATTGCATGCATTTGAGAGAGAGAGAGAGAGAGAGAGAGTATTGTGTCTTAAGTTATGGGGTGGTTTGTTGACATTAATGTCTGGTCCTCCTTTACCAGTGTTGGGTAGTCGAGGGTTTTAAATGCACCAACAAATTTTTCTTCTTAAACTCTACAAAAAGGATCAAAATTTCCTATTTCTCCCTTGCCCTTCTCTCCTTCTTCTCTATTCTTCTCCATTGCCCTCTTGTCAATGAAAATAGCATAACGTTTGTGTTTCTGATCTTTTCTTGTTTTGTTTTGTCTACGTATTGAAACTTGAAATAGTCACTGTGATGTTGGCTCGGCTCACTCAGAAGTCAAGTATAACCTAAACCTTGTGTCGAAAGATGTAAGATTTATGATTAAAGCATTTGATTGAGCCGCGCCAATATCTTAGTGTGCTTTTTCATTTATAAACTCATCTCTTGGAGGACTACCCAAATGTACTTCAATCTCAAGGTTTGATTTTTTTTTTTTTTTTTGGATTTTCAATGTGAAAAGAAAGCAATTTATCAGTTTATGCAATACTCTTTACCATTGCAGTGTCTCAAATTAGGGTTTCAATCTCTTTACCATTGCCATTGCAGTGACACTATCATGAAATTTCTGGTTCCACACTTTTTTTCTTTTTGAACAGTAGTAATTCTATGAAACCTAGTAGGGAGATAAGACAAAATATAAAGATAAACAGACAATTTTTGAACACTTTAAAGTTTTAGTTGAAATGATTTAATGTGGTACTATATCGAGACTTCAAGTCTCACCATCACTTGTTTACGAAATTGTCTCGTTTCATGTCTTTAATGATGGAAAGAAATAAATCTGACCTAACAAACAAGTATTATTGAAAGAAGTACCAATGCTTGTGTGGGCAATACTACATTTATTGTTTACCAAATAAAGAGAGCATTTATTAGACTTAGGTGGTCACACATTGTTACTACAAGGAAAGCAGTTTTGGAGATTTTCAAATTTTGACATCAAGAAGCCAAAAAGAGATTCAAAAATAAAATGAATTAATTTTACATACTTGGCTACTCGTGAATAGTAATGCTTATGTTTTTCTTGTCTAAAAATTCTCGATTGACTTGAGCGTTAGACGACCCCAATGCACCTCTAAATGTGATTTTTGTTGTAGGTTCATGATTTATTGACAAAGTGAACTCACGAATGTACACATTTAGAGCATCGATGAATTTTAATGAATTTGATACTATGCGAGTATCCCGCTCTCTTTAGAGGGATTAAATCGAGCAAATGTTGAAAATCCTCAATTACCGCTGCAACCAGGGGCATGGGGAGGGGGCTGGGCTTCAGCCTAGCACTGCCCCAAAGCTCGTTTAACATATTCTATGTATCAGCCTAGTATAAATTTTTTTTTACCCTTCCTATCTTCGACCCTGGGCCTGCAAAGTTATATTCTTAAGTTATCCCCAATACGACATAATAGTCGAACTAAAATGTTGTATATATATAATTTATAGAGCCAACATATACATACGCACATACGTATACATGCAGTGGCAAAGATAGGGGCTTGTCCAAGCCCAGCTTCTGTTAAAAAAAAAAATTGGTTAAAACCCATTTTTTTCCACTATCTAACTCAGTAGTCCCTCGTACCCTTCATTCCTGGCTCCGCCCCTGTATACATGCATGTATACTGTATGCGTACTGGACTTTCATTCATGAATTAAAGATCATAATAAATGCGAACCTTGGGTGACAAAACAAGTCAACAAATTTAATCATTTCACCATATCTACTGTATTTTTCATCTCACTTGCAATTAATTTCATTTCTTCTTTTTCGTGACCATAATAGACACATCCTATTGCACTGATCGAAAGCATTCTAAGTGACGGAAGGAGACAAAAACTAAGAAGTGAGTTATTTATACCGAGCAATTTAGTTAGGGTTAGTTGAAGAGAGTAAATGTGAGGTGGGATTGTTGGGAGAATAATAAATATTTCGAGCAAATTACATTGGTACTGATAAGGAAGAAAAAGATTCTCTCTGAACAAGTAATCACTTGCCAACAATAGAGCTGTTTGCTTTTAATTCTGCAGTCAGACAAAGATTCCCTTATTAAATAATCCTACCATGCTGTGCTCATTTACAACTTGTTTATGACCTAAGTTAATTCATTTTGTGGGTCTATTGAATGCTTATATTCAATTTTCACCGGCATTTTTTGAATTCGACCTATTGTAAGGGCCCGTTTGATGGGTTTCTACTTTTACTTTCCGAGGAAGGAAGCACTTCTATAAAATGATACGAACAGGTAAAAAAAAGCAATTTCTTCATTTTAAAGTAGTTTTGACTTTTCATAAGTCTTGTCAAATGGGCGCTTACAGTGTTGAGGGTCAAAATTTTAAACGGGTTCAAATTGAAATTGAATGTGTGATCAAATATTGAACAAACAAACAACAAGTTTGTTACTAAATTTGGGAGTGACTAAAAGGAAGCACATTTATGTCTAAGCAAACGTGTCTTAATCACATAACCCATTTTCATCTTAATTCCGATAAAATTTCATGTGAAAAGTAACAAATTATAGATGTAACACTATAAACAGTTTACAAACATAAGTTATTATATATATATAATAAAATTACACCAGTAACCAATGATCAAGGGGTGTACAAAAACATATATAACATGGCATGTATATCAAGGTTGAATTGCATCTCACTCAATCAACAATCACGCTTCACTAATATTTTGGATGACACGCAAGATGACAGAAACGTCACGTGACAGAATTTCATTGGACTGTTTAAAAAACTGTCAACGCTGTCGTCCAATGATTTTTTGACCCAACTTCATTTGTCAACCAAGACGTTAAATTCCTCAGTCAAAATAGCATAATTCAACAATAAATTCTTTTTAACCCGTGGCCAATTCATCTTGATCCCAGTTGACCAAGTTTCATCCCATTTTTGAGATAGTTATTGCTTTTAGCATATAACTAGATCAATTTGTAGTTCGATTCCTAGTTTTTTGACCTGGACAAGTGGCTGCGTTCCATTTTCCATAACACTGGTGAGATCTCTCAAATAATAAAAACGGCACCTACAAACATTGAACTGGGATTAAGAACATTACTCAATTGAAGGTGCCTTTCATTGAAATTGTTGCTTTTATGTGACCCTACTAATGTCAGTGTTTTAATTGAATAAATTAAATTATGATTTTATTAAGGTCCTCGTCGTCTCACAAGTTCACGGTTTGATTGTTGTAACTTAGCACATGCTTGAGCCTCTTTTTTGGAATGGATTTTGTAAAAAGTGATTTTATGAAAAAGCCGTTGTTAAAAAATAAGGAAAAAAATTTGAGTTTACGTACAAAATTATTTTATTAGGAAAATGTGATATTGAAATTGAGTTTTGGATGCAAGCTAACGTTACATAAATCCGTTGCGCAAAACTATTATTACTTTTGATCAAAGAATTTTATTGAATTTCCGACTCAGGGGGGATATACATATCGAGAGACAAGACACCTCTAAGAACAATGGTACTACCTAATGTTACATTACATGGCAACGAATTTAAAATCTTGCAACTGTATTCTGCTGAATTAGCTTCTCTCAAATATAATTATGTTTAGAGTTCTTCCCTCCCACCCCCACCCTCACCGGCCCCTTCGGGGTGCCAAATGATCTACATATAATTAACAAGAAACATGAATGGGTACCAATAATCTATGGACATAGAAGAATGAGGGAGGCTATGTCGTCAAAGCGTCAGGAAGATTGGTAGGAGACTTGGAGCTCCAAGAACCTTACCAGTTACCACCAACATCAGGGAAACTTTCATAACCGGGCAAGGGATTTACCTTTCCATTAACATCTATATCAACTGCATATTTGAGAAGATGGCCTTGCAATAGAGTGAATTCATCAGCTACATATTTCTTCCAGTTAGTTTCTGCAGTACGATTCACATACTTGACACAATCCGGATTTCCAGGCTCCTTCAAACAATCGTCAAGATTTCCCATGTGCTCTGCCCAAAGTGACATTCTGTATCCGTAAATCTGCAAACAAAAGTCAGTCCGTTTAATAAATAGAATTCTAGCCGTTGTGGTGGATGAAAAGATCGGTTTATCTATGACTGTTAATAGCCAAGGGAAAGGATCTGTTTATTTCTGAAAAGAAAGATCAGCTGCAACTATTTGGCAATTACAAACAATGAGGATGCTTGGCTAAGAGCTAACGTGTTGTATAACCACAATAATGCTAACCTGGCCATGTGGATGTGCCTTCTTTTTCGCCCAAGTTTGATGAGGCTAATAAGAGCCCATGTCAATCTCTGTATCTCTTGAACCGGCCATAGATTGTTGGTTAATATTTGCAGATCCGAGTATCACGTAGTCATCATCCACTATCATTCCTTTGGCATGTACATAAATCATAATTCTTCCAAATTTTTGTGAAGCTGAAACCTGCAGAAGTTCTATTTCATATTACCGGGGTTGGTAAAGAGTCTGAAGCAGCAAAAACTTTTTCCTTGGTTTCTTTGTTATTGATAATTTTAAACGAAAATAGATTAAAGAACGTTACAGATGACATGGTGCAGTTCGACATTTTCAATTAGAAACTAGTAAGTTTTTCCCCAACTCGTTGTTAGCATATAACTCAATGGAACTCAATCTGAGAGGCAGAATGTAATGCAAGATGAGAATAGAAGAGCAGAGAGGTATACACTATATATCTTTGGGATACTAAGGTCTGTTTTATGTAAAAGAAATAAATGGGAAATAAATTAAATAGATGAAGCTCGGCTTCTAATGCACGACTACAAGTTTTACAGCAACCCGAAATCATCAAGAAGATATTATTTGACAAGAATAAGCAAAATTTGCAGTGGATTTAAGGATGTCTTTACTAATAAAATAGCAGAATTATAGAAGAGAAACTGGAGGACGTATGACCATTTGAAGAATCTTCACCATGCCTTTTTTCTTGATTACCAAGACAATAGAAATTTAGATAGTCAGTTGGATGTGCATTCTTAATGCTGGCAGACTTCAGTTCTCGAGCAATAATTTCAGACATCATTTGCATCGTCTGTCCCTGCAAGAATAAAGAGTAAAGTGAATTATATTTTTCATCTCAGTTACATGAATAAGAACATGCATATACAAGTCCAAGATACTATGGCTACCTGCCAATATAGAATTTCTCGTACAGAGGCAGAAGTGGAAACACCCTCAGGCCACATTGGGACAACAACATAAACTGTGAATCTTTGTTTTGCCCTTATTTTAGTCGTAATCTTGAATGCCAGCTCCATTGGGATTAAGTTATCAGCACCTAAGGAGACAATAAAAAGGTTATTTAAGGATGTTCGAGGAAAGAGACTGTGTTATATGAGAGTTCAAAAATTAAACATGGACATCCTACATACTTACAAACTCAACGGCCTAATTATGTTGATTAGCCCTACTGCATTTTAATTTTTTGTAGTAAACTGTGTTGCCAAAACTTTTGTTGATTATCATTTTCACTCAATTAGATAAGAAGTAGTTGTTTAAGGGCTACGTCTACGTATATAAATTGGATATCCCTATGCCTTTCAAGCCAGTGTAAAACTATAATTTCTTAAAAAGGAAGCTCCACCTGCATGTTTGTAGGAGGGCCAAGCATAAGATGACCCAAGGAAATATTGATTCTCAATGTATATGAAATGTTGGGCAGATCTTATCGCCTGAATATAAGCCGTTTGAATGCTCTTGTCAATCACCAGGTTTTTGGCACAGACTAGGTTCTGAAACAGAGAAAATTCCAAAAATTATTCATTACCATGAACAACGGACCAATGTGCGTGCAGATAAGCCAAGTTGATGATTATTGTGAACTAGCCAGTGCACGTGCGTCGTGTTTGGTATATGAATTCAAAAGACCTAGATATTGATAGAGAATTCATCCGAGTGAGATATTCGACATTCATCCTTGCGTATGCAATCTCCGACTATTAGTCCCTAGTCCAATAAGGTAAGTGTCTTTTCTGATAAAGTTCTTGTGTTATTAATTTCGCACAAGTAGAGAAGTAAGATTAACCCCATAATGATAAACGTTGAGGTTAGTCAAGTTTTGCAAGATGACTTTTGCAAGAAGTTGACAGTACGAATACTAACTGCCTCATCTACAAATTTAATTATTCGAAATAAACCATATATATTCATTTAAATCTTGTTTTCTACATACCTCTCACATGCAAGCTTCACTTTTAATTATTTTTAATTCAACTTTGTGACTTGTGCACAATTTTCACTTGAACTCGTATGTTTTGCATGCCTCCGGTTCCATGTCAACTATCTACCTAACAACATAAAACCACATGTATTCATTTAATGCTTGTCTTAAAATTAATAAATATGCATAGATGATCATCACCGTGTTAGATTTCATCTATACAAGGAATCCACTAGTAAAATTAGATCATTTGAACAAAAAAAAAATGTTTAACAAAATAAAGAATGAATGAAAATATTATATTCTCCTTAAAATTTGACAACAAAATGACAAAAACTAGTTTTCTACATCTTATAACCATAGGTTGCATCTTTCTTTTTCATCCACACTATTTTCTTTCCTACTATACAGAAATATTGAATGCAGACATTAATACATCTTTTTGTATTTCAAATCCTGCTCGAGTCTTTGCTTCCACTTATCCTCCAAGATTGACTTTTAAAATTGAAAGATTTGGAGGGGCCAAAATGGGTTGCCATGAAACTGTAATTAAAGCTAAGGCTCCAAAGTGTTGGTATGGGCAATGGTGCAACTCGTAGGAGGAGGAGCTGCCTTTATCGTGATGCTTTGAATGAATGCTATCATCTGTACGAACACAAAACTTCATTAGAATGAATTTGTAGTTGAACTACTACATATTCATGCATCAATATTTTAATCCCCCCACCCCCCGTCCCCCAATTATGTACAACTAGAGGTGTAAATCAAGCCTGGATCACGCCAGTTATGAAATGGCCTGGCCTCTTTTGTAGGCGTGTCAGGGGCAGGGCATGTTGGGTGTATGGGCATTTACTTTTTTGCATTATTTTCTTTTCTTTTAAATAGAGGTCTGCATGGACCGGCAGATCAAGTTATCAACGAGGTTCTACGGTTTATTACACGAGGTTGGACAATCACTGTTTGATACATGCCTACAATGTTCATGGGATGAAGTTTTTTTCCTAAAGTCTGGTCTCTGAATACTTGTTTCTTCAGTCAAGAAGTTCCATTTGGATCTTGGCAATGCAATCATGACCAAGTCGGAATAAAAACCTCCACATCTAGGTCATGCCTACTCTAAACTTATTTACCCCCATTATTGAAGCTCACTACAAGCAATGGGACTGCTGATCATACACAGCCCAACACAGAAGGTCCATGCCTGTGCCCGTGCTTTTCACCTGCCGGGTGGCCCTGCACATTTAGTAGGGAAACCCTGTTCTGGAAATTTATTGATCTTTTCTCTAATCTATTTAATAAGTTAAATAACGTCAATAAGTAGTAGTATTTAACTTTTGTCTCACAAAGAAGTACTACATAATAAGTTGGTAGTGTTTTCTCGAAACAAAAGATACAAACATATAGTTTGGACCAACTAAACCCTTCGAGGACTTTCTCAAAGAGGTAGTAGCGCATGTAATATGGTGGAAAAAGTATACAGTTTCACCACCAGAACTAAAGAACTACGACTTAATTATTCCATCTACAAGATTCATCCAGTCAAAATTGTCTAGTAGATTTTCCCTTTGTTTAAAAATATTGAGTATGGCACATAGAAAATGCCAACTGCACTTGATCATTGTTAGAATTGAGGAAGAAACTGAGTTCTTTTCCATGATTCTCCATCACAATTTTTTCTCCTAGTGAATGAAAACTACCATTCATGAATGTTTGATAACATGGATTAGACAATAATGACAGCATTAAAGAGGAACAATAATCTAAAATTTTGCTTTTTGTACTGTCCAATACAATCTAACAATATGTACCAAACATGCACTTTTCTTTATGTTTGTTATGCTCGACACTAATGGATAGATTAGTGAAGAAAACAAATTAAAATCTCGTCTCTTATCGTGTGCCAAACATGCCATCTATGTATTAAAAGAAATAAGGAAAATAAGTCACATCTATCTGTAGGAAGAAACACTTACTGCAGCAAAGCCGGAGCACATAAGACTGAATCCTGGAAAATGGAATGGTGCACTATCTGATAGGAACAAAGCTGAAGGAAAAGTAACAAAAGCACATCATAAGATTAAAATGAGTTTTGAGGCTTTGATTGAATTTCGGAAACGCTTCTACTTACCTGTTAAAGGGCTGAAAGCAAGTGGAGAAACAATATTGGCAAAGGAACATATGCCTGTAATGCACCCTTGAGCCTTTCCCTGAAAGGAAAAACAATGCCATAATCAGCACCCTCTGAAGCGTTCAAAGAAAGATTTTGCAACGCAATTCACAAGTAATAGTTGCTATGCATTCAATAATAATATAACAAACTAAGCCTTGTTCTCAATAAATTTGGGACGGCCAATGAGTCGGCACTTCGTTCAGTTTATTGCTAGATCCACTAGAAAATCAAAAGCAACAAGATGCTCAACAATTGCAACAAGCCATGTTTGTTTTGATCAACTCCTTCCTCTTTTGATGTGGGGTACTGCAATCCTGTCACTCAGATAAACCGGAGCCTCTTTAGTTTAGCGTAAAACATGTCCCAACTACCTGAGTCATTCTTAACTTAATTTATTCTCAATCAGCACTACCCCCATTTATTGGCATATATTATGGTTTCTAATCTTGTCTATTTTAGTATGACTATGTTGATCTTTTGACACACAAATTCGCCATTTATAAGCGCAAGCTGCGCAACACCTGACAATAGAGCATGAAGCATAGCATTTATCAAGAACAACATAGCGATATTTCCAAATTCACCTGTTCATCGGGTCCAATTTGTTTGGAAGCAATGCTCCTTAACTGCAAAATGCAATGTGCAGTTAAAATTAACATCCATGCTGAAGGACTTTGCTACAATAAACAAAGAGCTTACACATGGCATAGCAAAAGTAGCCACAATAGAGATCATGGCTGCAGCATAAGGAACCTGCAAATTTAGAATCGTGAGCATTACTGGATGTTCCATTTGAGTTTTGCTTTTCTAGAGAAAATGAGAAGCTAAAAATAAAAGGGTTAAATGATTTGTGTAGATAAGATAGCATAATTTTAAACTGTTAGTAACCAAAATTCATTGAAATTCGAATGAGTGGTCAAGTAAGAACATACCCAGGGTGCCCAGGCCACACTGTAAAGAACCATCTGCACTCAAAGCAATAGAATAGTTAATCAAAAGTTATGTAATAGAACTACAATGTTTAGATTAAATCTTAATCCCTAACGAAACAAAAACAGAAAAATACCACATAAACACAAAGATTTATAATAGTTCATCCTCAATGTGAGACTATGCCCACTTGCAACTGAAAATTTTCAGTATAATAAAGAAGGAGATTACAACATTTTTCACACGCCTCTCAGTCTTGTATGCATGAAAAGCCCCCCTTATTATATAAGACAGAGATATTAGGCCAATTCACTTTCAAGGGAAAAAGTAGACAGTAAAATTACGCTCCACACAGCCAACATACAAGGTTTTTCACATCCCTCACAGTCTTGTCTACACGAAAAGACCCTTCATATGATACGAATATTAGGCTCCACACAATCCAACATACAAGGTGTATTCTTTATTTGGAAGAATTCATAATTGAATATTGTATGCAAGAGCATCAAGCACTGAGATTTTCAAATCATAAAAAACTAAATTGGATAGCAAATGGCAATGTATTTACATGAGCACAGCTGAAAAAGAGCCCTATTGACAGCATCTTCTCTTCTCCCATTAGAGGAGTTAATATGGGCATAATAATCAACTGCAAGAGTTCAAAACCGAACATGAACATGAAATTTATGTAAGAAATTGAATATAAGTACATAACATCTCATACTACTGCACGGAACGATAATTACCTGTGATATTGACCCTGCTATCCCAGCAATTATCATCAGATCGGCAAATTCATCTTTGTTGAAGTGAAATTGAGCCTTCAAGTAGTACTGCATAGTGGTTAAACGAAAGCATGTCATTATAAATCCATTTCAGACTTTCCATAAACGGTACTATCATTCAAGACCCAGAAAACAGAATAAATAATTCGTAGAACCTCTCTTAAGTGTACCACTTAAAAAGTCATGCAATCCAGACTCGAAACGAAGACATCCATTAACAAATTATCAGAAACTGGTCACAGTAGAGACATATGACATCTTTCATCTTTAAACTGATCGAATTATTTCTAAGCTTCAAAATTTTCCAATTTTATTAGGCAGCAAACATACAGTTGTTTGCATGTTGCTCTACTCTCAAGCATTAAATGACATTGAAATTCATGGAATACAATGAAAGAAACGTACATTTAAAGAAGCGTAAAGGCCAACATCAGCAACTGTGACGAAGAATGCAACGGCAGCTGCTTTAGAAAATGTGGAGCTGCACAATGATAGTGTACAAGATAGCAAAATATCAATGTAAATATTGCTACAAAAGCAAAATAAACAATTGATTTTCTTCCTCTCTTGCTCAAGTTCGGAACTTTTTCCCAATTTTTAGACTGCAGATTGTCTTCCACCATCAATTCCCCTTCCCCCACAACCAAATTATAGAGTTATGACGCAGTCCAACCCAAACGAACAAAATGTTGAATTGAATTTTACAGGTCTTTACCAAGGTTATATTACTCATTTTTGTACTTTTTTTAAATTTTTAATTAGGAAAATGAGGCAGCCACCCTCCACCCCTTGTCAACACCCCTGCCAACACATCGGGGATTTTAGGCACCACTCCATATTTATTAGACATTTCTTTGGACAAAAGCCATGTACGTGCCTTGAAATCCATCAAAGGAATCAGTTATGAATAATGGTTAGCTACCTCACAGCTAGTGTAATTTGCTACTTATAGGACAGATCCAATCTTTAACACAAGTAAATGTAGATACCTAGTCCTTAGCAAGCAAATGGTATCATCCACTGAAGGCAGATTCTTGAATAGTTGCCACTTTTTCGTAGGTGCTTTTTCCAAAAGACAAGTATGCTCTGTGTTCTTTGCACAAACGCTGTTGTTCATCATTGACTCGGGAAGGAATACTCTCATGTACACCAGTGATACCACTGCCATTGATGCAGCAACCTAAACACAGCCAATCATACAAAGAAATACATAAAAATCGAAACTTTACATGATCCTATAATATTAGGGAATAAAAATCCATCCCACCCGTATAAGGAGCTAAATTCAGCCCAGTTCTAATACAACTTCTTTGGTCCAGTCCAAACAAAACTCTATCACATGGACCTCTAGCGACTCTAAATGGCTTCTAACTAACTATGTAATTTTCATACCAAATACATGTTCCTATGCTAACCGGTCAATTATCTTTCTTTATACAAATTCTACAGCCTTTTTAGCCAGTAAAAGTACTCATTCCCATTTTTACTAGGACACTCCAACATCTCCAAACCTTTTATAAAGATCATGGGCCTTTATAAGATGTCACTATTTGTCATAATTGTTAAATAGTAAGGCATAATATCAAGCAAACTCTTAATTGAAAAAGATGATATCAGTATTACATGATCAATACAATGCGATACAATGTATATGTACCTATATGTATATGTTAAGGGATAAATCCCAAATTGGTTATATATCTACGTGTAAGGAGTTGGGCTACTCTTCATTTTTCTATATGGTATCTGAGTCCACAATCCTCAAACAAGCCATTCAATCGGTCTCGAGCCCACAGATTCCAAGGTTGATGTTCCCAAATGACACGCGAAGGGACTTGTCCCCTTATCTAAATTCTTAGAGATAATTTTCGATAACTCCTTGATCCTGCTTACTAGATTTATGGGTTGTTATTTTCCCGTCTTGATAAAATATCACTATCAGTTAAATAAGTGTTTTTAAGATGGAATCGCAATTGGCAATAGTAGATACTTGCTTGAAAAGTAGCAGAAGTAGAGAGGAATCGAGTAGAGAAATTCCCAAAGACGAAAGAGGCAGATGCAATGCCAGACATTATTCCAAATACAGAAACCCTTCTGCTTTCTGGAACATTATCAGCCTGCAATCAGACAACAGCTTTTCTTAAATTAATTGGTATTTCTCAGGTTTAAATCATTGTCATAATTTATTTGAGGAAGCAAAAAGAGGAACATACCACATATGCAAAGGCAAGAAACTGAACACTTCCTTCAGTGACCATGGCAATGACTGTTTTGAGCAAATAATAAGCGTAGAAGAAATACTTGGTCCTGCCGTAAGCCAATATCACTGTAACCACAAAGCAAAATAATCAGTTTTAGAGGAGAGTGCAAGACAATTATTCATTATAACGGGAAAAACAAGATCTAGCATGGTCCTAATATAACCGCCAACTTCAGCTGACAAAAATACATTTTGGAATGATAATTTGATGGAAAATGCATTATTGAAAAATAAAGAAAATTTTTAAATTTGCGTGTGGTATTATTTTATTAAAAAATGTGAGATTTAAAAATAAAAATATATATATTTTTTGAAAATAATGATAACTAAACAATTGTTAAATAAGCTCAACATGGTACTAGGACCAATACAATAAAATTAGAATTATTCTGAATCCACACGTCGATGATAAAATGCTGCTTCAAGATTATGAGTGTGTTTGGTAGAGATTAAAATCGGANATTTTAGAGTATGTTTGATAGATATTAAAATCGAAATAAAATTGAAAAATTAATCATTATTGTTGACTTTTATTAGACGGGTGGGACCCAATAACGACTATATTTTCAATTTTAATTGAATTTTTAGTGTTATCAAACAAGCTCTATGTAAACACAGTTGATGTAACAAAACCCATAAAATTAAAATGTTGTAATGGGGATGAGCTATTGGCACTTCAAATGAGCTCGATTTTAGCTTGGCAAGTCAAACTAAGCTTTGAATTTTGGGCTTGTGGACTTCATGGGCTAGTTCATGGTCTTCTGTATTGAATTTATGTAAATTCTAATTTTTATTTCATATTTTTTTATTGTATATATATAAATTATATAAGAAAAAAAATAGGAGGACAAGTAGGCCAGCTTGTGCCAACGTGGGTAGGGCCCATAGGCTAAACAGGGCTTAAACTCGTTGGCCTAGGCTTGGTTCGTCCAATTAGTCAAACTGTGTTGACTCTTCTCATTGCTACCTCGATAAACAAAACATGCGTGCAGACACAAGCATTTATAAGTGCTTCGCTTAGAGCATGCAAAAAGACGATCAACTCTTCTATTGACCATCTAATGCGGATCTAGGTGTAAGGGTTTTTTTTTAAAAAAAAAAAAAATTTGTTTATCACACTTTTTTTAGTTGGAAAATTTGAAAGTAAGTCTTGAGAGTTAAAACTCTAATATTCAAATGAAAAAATAATAGTATTTATCATTTCAGATGTTTGGTACGCATCATTTGGATTACATTGCAATTTTAAAATATTAAAATAATATTAAAAATAAGAACATTTTCTCACGCCTAAAATCATAAAACTTAAAATGTAGCCCATGTTTGAGCCATATTATTTTTTTCATTCTTATTCATCTACTCATTTTCAACCACACATTTTTCAATAAAATAATATTTTTCATCAAATCAATAACTTTTTTTTTTCAACCACATATTCCCCTTCACATAAAAAAATTTAAAATAAATAGACTAAAGAAAAATGAAAATATTTCAAAAAACTAAAGGTATGTTCTCTTTACCATTTTCGAAAGTTTTTTATTTTCGATTTTCTAAAATAGTGAAAACACGTTCTCTTTCCTATTTTCGAAAATGCATTTTTGAAAACAAATTAAAAATTTACAAATAAAATACAAAACTGGGTGATTTCAGTTATAATTAAGTCAAATTTTTCAAAACGCGTTTTGAGTGTTTTCAAAATGTAAAAATGAATACATTTTAAACAATTTCAAAATGAACACTCAAAATACAAAATGAATTCAAAACTGAAATACAAATAGAACAGTCCCTAAGCGTTTGTTTGACACAATTAATTTATAATTTATTTTTTCTCAAACTCATTTTCATCCACACACACTCTCAGCAAAATAATTTTTCACATTTTCTCTATTTTTTAACCAGATATGTTAAAAAAATATTTTTCTCTTCAAATAATCTCTCCCAAATAAATGCTTAGTGCTTGTTAGATAAAATCTTATTAAAAATTTATCAATGTTTCAACTAGTTAAGCTTCAATTTTATCATACATTTAAATCCACAATTTTTATCAAAATCTCCTAAATTTTTTATCTAAATTTTCAGTGAGATTTATCACTTTTAAATATAAATAAATTATGTTTTCATTTTCATTTTCCCTGAATGGAAGATTACTTTCCTTTCTCATTAAAAAAAAAAAGCAGCCTGGTCAAAAATGGAGTTATCCTTTTACTTTTTTTTTGTTCTTTTTGTAAATTCCTTTCCTTTCTTTTATTTTTCAAAAAGTAATAATAATAACTTATTTTAGCCAAACAACTTATTTATTTATATGTACGATCACTTATTCAAGTAAGAAAGTGAGAAGTAAGGAAGAAATAATACCTAAAGGAAGTACCCCAAAAGTCATAGGAACGGTGAGCATCACTTTTCTTCCATACGTATCTGAAAGATTTCCTACCAATGGCATCACCACCAATGACCCCAGTCCAATTATCTGCCGTACAGTTCGAGCAATTACAATTAATACAATTTGCAACAAAATGAGTATATCTTAATTATACATATGGTACTAAACACTAATGAAAAATAAAATAAAATCGAAATCTTGTTCAGAGTACTGTTCAGTCGTCTTTAATACATAATTTAAGATTTAAAAAAAGTTATAGTTGAGTAAGGAATTATTTTTATATTCCTTCGAAATTTTGAACAATTTTTCCATACAAATTGTAAGTAGTGACAACTCTCTATTCGAAAGAGATTGAAAGTGACATTTTTATCATCTATAATCGTACTCATGGTTTAATTTTAACTTATCATCGAACTAAAGTCATGTTTTGTAGGGATTCTTTAAAAAATATTATCATTATTTTATTTTTTTATAACCTTGGATGTTCGGACCAACTGCGCGCACCTCGACTAATTTCATGGGGTCTTGAAGTTTACGGTCAGATACTCAACTCAGTGGCCTTGAGATATTTTTCTTACAACTCATTTTCAACTATATTTTTCTTTAATAAAATAATATTGTACTTGGACTCATAATTTTCTCTACATTTTAAACACAAATTCTCCCGAAAATATTTTCAAAAATTCTACATCAAATATGTCCTAAGTTTTCATGTTACTGTCAATGAATAAGGTTATATATGGTATGTACCTTGGAGACTAGCACAAGACTTTTGGACCGACCCTTCCAAAAATGGTATTCAAAAGAATGGATACACACAGTAAGGACAAATTTTAGCATCACTACGACTCTGACTAGCACACCTAATCAACTAGTCCAAAGTTGTTATCATTGGCAGGTAGATTGCTTTAAGTGCACTAGAAGAAATAGTCACAAAGGATATTTAAGTGGGTCGTCGGGAGATGATTGTTTGAGTTAAAGATGGATAATATCGAATCATATATTTCATTTCTAGACGTTAATTTTGTTAAAAGAAGTAGTTCGATTGATTGTTATTTGCATATTTAATTGACGTGAGATCCTCAGTAGAGACGGGGCTGGAGACGAGGGGTGTCGAAGACAGAGAAATGGGGGGGTTGGAGGTAGAGGGAGGTGTGTGGTGTGGATTGGGGATGATTGCATAGAAAGCAACTTCTTACTTGCACAGGAAGGTTTTGCGTTTTTTAGCCACTGGTTGAAACAGTGAGAAATTTTTTCAACAAAACCTAACTTTCTCTCAATTATTTTTGTAGTATTTTAATGTTTTTAAAGCTAGTTTATAATGGACAATATTATGCAAGTTTAATATTTTGTTCATATGGTAATTTCTCATATATACTAATTAAATACACATTTATAGATTGCATCAGGATGGCTTGATCACCAAATATGAAGTAACATTGTAACTTCATTGGTAAATTTTAACTTCTTAATCCATTATTATTCGGCCACTGTTCGTTGATTTGTTTGCAAAATATTTTATTGTGTGAATGTATGATTGGAAATAATCCTGCAGCAAAAAGAGGGCACCAAACAGGGGCTCAGTGCACTATTCATTGATTTGCTTGCAAAATATTTTATTGTGTGAATGCATGGTTGAAAATAATCCTTTAACAAAAGGAGGGCACCAAACAGGGGCTCAGTGCTGTAATTACCAAATCATCGAATTATCTAATTTAACGTACAAAATATATCAATAATATATAATGAATTGAACTAATGGCATTTGGCAGTGCGCAATATTGGAGAACACGTTGTTAGATTAAAAAAAAAAAAAAAAATTGATGAGATTTTGCTTATCGTCCCTTTAATCTTCAATAATGCCAAACAAATAAAAAGAGCAATAATTACCGCTTGTTGAGCTCCGGTGAGATATATGGCCAATGAGCATTTATCTTTTCCTGGACAAAGCGCAGACATTGTCACGTCGGTTATTGCCGGAACCACCATGAAGTTGGCGAAGCAATAGAGGAAAACCGTCATGAAGAGGTGGCTCAGCCCGAATAACTTCTCCATTTCTCTCTCTCTCTCTCTCTCTCTCACTCACTCACTCTCTCTTTCTCTCTGTGTGTAACTTGTAAGAAAAATGAGGAGAAGAAAAGCCTTTCGTATAGTGTTAGAGAATTCTTAAAGCAACAAATTGAAGAACTTTGGATTAAAGCACAATTGTGTTGGTCTCTTTAGTCTTTATTTATATTGTTCAAAAAGAAGTTTGCATGGACAAAAAAATAGCCAAAAAAAATAGAACCAATTGCAATAACTGTAAAGATATACAAAAAAATATAAGTATATAACTTGTGTCTTACTTAACAGAAAATACATAAATATTTATTATTGGATAGATGGTCGACTTAGACGTCTACTTTAAGAAAGACGACAATGACAATTATGAAAAGCAAGTACCTAACTCGAAGTATAGTAACACGAGGTATGGCGATGCACGTTAGGTATAAAGTTATTTATCTTCAGCTCTAAATCAAGTTTTCTTAAGTTCAAATTTTATACAAATATACATATATAGTTTGAGGGAATGACGTTGGCGGTGCTAAAGAAGTAACCATTTAGTTGAGATGGTCACGTGCACCTTTTGATTCTTATTTCCAACAATCTATCTAAAAAATAAAATACAATAATACTAATAATGTTATAGTTGTAGATAGTGCGGGGTGGGGCTAGGCAGGGACTCAAGTCAAAGAGTGACCGAAGTGCGACAGTGAAATGATGCGTGGCTTGTAAGTTGATTCAATTCATAATTTGCTTACACTTTAATGCGTATAAGGTTGAGCAATAGAGTACCGTGCACCGATTAATTAGTCACTGATTTACAAAGGAACCTATTATGGAGTATGATGAACAAATGGGTTTTTGGCGTGTGGGTTTCTTCAATGATGTTGTGAAAAATCCTTCAATCCATCATGCCAGCAATTATAACTTCTTTTAAAAAGAAAAATTAAGTCAGAAAAGAAGTTTTCTTTAAAAATATGGGATGTGAAAAAAGTGTATTCTATGTTCAAAATATCTCTGGTATCCATGATGAGTCTCCCGTGGCACCCAAGCCTCCACGAGTGAATGCTTGTCGATGATCTTTCGTCAAGTAAACGAAGAGCTAGTGAGGGCCGGAATAGAATACCGTATGTAATGCAGAGTTCTTAAATTTTTCTTGTATTAATTGACTCTGCTAATAAGGCAGTCCAGAGTAAATGATCAACAAGGGCGTTCTACTACATTCTAGATTCTTATCCAAGACGTGTATCATTTGATGATGCTACGTGAATAGCTAGAAACATGTGAATTATATGGCTAATTTCATAAAGAAAGGTTTGTAAGGGGGCTAGAGTCTACCATGAGATTTTGCCCTTGTTTGAGCTCCATTATAATGCTGTTTTTTGGAAAAATATATTTTGTAATAGTAATTTTTTTTTAAGAATGTGTAGTTAAAAAAATGAAATTTTTTGAATTTACGCGTAATATTGTTTTATTGAAAAAAAAAGAGAGAAAAAATGTATTTTTGAATTAATGGAGCCCAAACAAGGGCTTTGATTCTTGCTAAGGTGTAGAATAATGATTTTCTATTAATTTTACTTTAGAAAATCAAACTTTTCTCCAAGCATGCAACTGTCGAAGTTTATGTGCTAAAGTAGCTGTCCAATTTGAGCCACGGGCTTTGATGCGGGGTCCTACAAGATTCTTCCTAAGGTGAGCATCTTACTAAACATGAAGTGTATCTTCTCAAATTATTTCAATTCAACCCACGTTGCACATTTAGATATAACAAGCCCTTGAAAAAAATTATTTCAAAACTTTTTAATTCTCGTACTTATTTTCAACCACACATTTATACAATAAAATATTTTGCACGTAAATTCAAAATTTTTGCATACTTTTTGACAACACATTGTCCAAAAAATTACTATTCAAAACTCTATTTTCTAAAAAAAAATGACCATCAAACAGGGAAACGAGATACAGTAGAGTTGGTAAACCGACAAACCCTAGGAGTTAGGTCTCATATTAATGGGTACAAAACATGTAGCACAGTCCCATATTAATACAATATTGTTATGTGTACATCAAGTTTGGTACTGTTATGAGGTAACAATTTTTTATACATCAATTTTATCAACACTTTAAACAACTAATGATTGAAATTTTAACACATAATGAAGTGTCAAACTTGTTGTTCACTAAACTTAATTCATATTAGTATGAGCTAAACGAGATGAAATGGAGTTGGTGGGACACTAACAAATCTAGGGTCCCTATAAATATGACCAAACTGGAGCTTGAGCCACGTAGGCAAGTTTACTACACTTCCAAAAATAGAATACTCAATCATAGATGTTTTCTATCAAATAACAAAAAATATTAAAAGAAAATCATTTGAGATATTAATAATAATTGTAGTTATTTTCCTTTTAATATGAACAAGTATTGTCTTCTTCATGCTACATTATAATTAATAACATTTTTCTAAATTAATCAAAAAAATTATTTTATTTTTTGTAACTTTTTAAATTAATTCACATTTTCGATCTCATTGTCTAGTCTCTAGTCTATCATAGGCTACGTTATTATTTATTGGTGGACTCTTCTCGACTCCAAGAATGCATTTTGAACTTGCATATGAAATCAATTAGTTTCGCATACGTATAAGAACTATATTTCGCTAGAAAAACTTGTACTTTAGCGAGTTCAGAAATTATATTTATCATCAAGAACGCACATTCATCCCATTTTAAGTGTTATTTTTCGACCTTAACCTGAACGAGTGTTATTTAAAAAATTATATTTTTTAAATGTTTGGTGAAAATTGAAATTGAAATTTTAATTTAAGTCAAAGTCAACAATTGATTTCAACAATATATTTTATGGGATGTATAACTTTTTAATTACACATCTTATCAACTTTTATCAAAATTTAATAAAAATATAATTTTTATCTTCACCTAACAAGGACTAAATATTGAGAAATAAGAAAACTAATATTACATGTTTTAAAGTCATATGTCCACTCTCCATGTCTGATTATTCTGAGAGAATAAGAATATATCTTAATTACAGACAAAAAATGTCTACCTAGTGAGAATACGTTAGAGAAAAATTACACCATTGGTCCTTAATCTATTATTCAGTACAAATTCATCTAAAATCTTTCATTATATTCCACAATCATACTGCAATGCAATGATGAATATTTGTTAACTTCTTGTGTGGAGCAACTTTATGAAGTTATATATTCTAATTCTAAACTTAAAATGGTGTCAAAAGAAGTAAAAACTTGAAGTGAGACAAGTTTTATAAGAGTCACATATGCGACAATATAACAGCAATTTGAACAAGTTTCGTCGAAGAGGATGGTTCGTGCAATGAAATATTGTCGACTAACTTGCTCTAGTTTAAAGTTTAGAAATTGTTATGTTTTGTGCAACAATAATGATGAACAATATGGAATCAAGGAAGAAAATCAACCCAATATCTAGGTCGTTCCGCTCCGTTTCGTTCGATGCGCTCCACTTCACTCAAGCATCGATTTATTTATTCCAGTTTATATTTGCTCCACTTCATATGAGTCGCATATTACAATGGAGATAGACTAGCTAGTTAGAACAAAATGTCGAAAAATCACATGAAATTTTGTCTGAAGTATCTACCCAAAGTGCCCCCAATGTGTGGATAAAGCTTTTTCTTCCCATTTTCTTCCTATTTTCCCTCCAGTTTTCCACCCTCCACAAAACATAAACAGTTGAAACAAATAAAGCTTCCCTTTTCATCCTTAAAGCTGCAGCAGCCTCAGGTGTGAAAAAAGTAAGCAGTGATGAAAGAGAGTACTGTTATAAATTGGTCAAAATAATTTTGGGCATAATGAAAGGGATGAATTGGGCCCAAATTGATTAAATTGGTATGAAAGGGAATTTTTGCCCATGCGCACTCGTGAGCTATTTGTCCATGCGCACGCGTGGCTCCCGTTTTGCAAACCGAAAGCAAATTTTCAAAAATGCCTAATCATGTTTGTTTGCTTAATAGATTTTTGTATGGTTTGAAACAATCATCTAGGCAATCGTATATTAGATTTGACAATTATGTGTTTTCTATTGGCTTTGTGCGTAATGCCTTTGATCATTGTCTTTATTTTAAAAGAAATTATAAGAATGATGTGATTGTTTACTT